CAGAGGAAGGATGCTGCTGGGCTCTGCACCAGAGAGGGAGGTGGGGAAGAGCCCAGGGCAAAGCACTCTGCTCAGTATACCTTCATTTCAATTTGCACTATATCACTGGAGGTTTTCTGGGTTTATTAATATCTGAATTTATCAAGTGCTTATGCTTGAAAATACCTCGCTGATTTTATTGCTTCATGGGCACAGAAAGCAATACCATAGTGAAGCAGAAGATTGCAACATAAAAAGTCTCAAACTTTTTGTCAGGCTCATCACTGGTTTTCTTCCTCACAACCAACCATAGAAATTTCACAGCTTCCAGGTCTCAGAGCTCTCTGCAGTACAAGATTAATCAGTACTGATCAGCCAGGGCTGCACGTTTTCTAAAATCACTGTCAGCTCAACAGAGCATGAAAACCAGCAGAGAAAATCATTAACAAACCAGAGCAGTCTCAGCTTCTCATGCTCAGTCTCTGGTGCTGGTGGTTTTAAGCTGCTTTTCAGAGCCAACAGGATTTTGCTCCTTCAGTTGGTTTATGGCAGCCACTGGAATGTGCAGCGATTCTCTCTCATTTTTTTCTCCAGAACTTTTTTCACCATGGTTTCTGTCCTGCTGTCTCATAACAGAAATATCCCACCAGAATGAAAAAAACCCAAGTATCTCAGCTCTGGTTCTCCCCCAAGCAACATCACCCAGTTTGAGGGCAAGTGCTAGATGAACTGCAGCTCCCCAGGCTTGAGGAGCAGAAGATCAAGTCCTTTCTCCTTTTGCAATCACTTCTCTGTCCTCCTACCATATGTTTTCTGTCCCTTCTTCTCAGCACAGCTATGTGCAACCCTGCTCGTGCTGATAAATGATGCTGTGAGCCAGGCTGAAGGATCTCCTAGGTTTCCATTTGCACTTGAATTTGTGAACCACCTGCTCTTTGGTTTGGTGTAAGTCCTTGCTCATGGACTGCTGTCTGAGCTGGTCACATCCTATGGCACGTTAACTTCACATGGTGATCACTGATATGGTCACCACATCTGCACTGTTGGGAATAAAGAGTATAAATTCTCCCCTTGACACATTATCCACACTCACTCCCAACTTCAGGTGTCTGAGAAAGACTGTGGCAACCTATGCATTTGTGACCAAAAGGGGAAGATATTTCCCCTTGGACTGAGTATTTAAAGATATTCTAAAATAGAGCACCTCCCAGATCCACTCAAGAGACTCAGCAGCCCTCCATCCCACAGTGGTTAGCAGGGACATGGCATAAAACATGTACACTGAGTGTCACCAGCGTGGCTACAGCAAGTTATGGAGCAACTCAGGGACAGGCCCTTGACCTCCACACTGGGAGTGCCCGATTCATGCACATGGCAGGTGGCAAAGCATCTTTGCACATGTATGTATTGGGGTCTGGCTCATTCAGCAGGCTCACTCCTAATTTAGTCCTAATTTGCACCTAATTATAAGAGCTGGTAGGGAAATTGTCCTTGAGAGTGTTTCTGAGGTGGGACAGGTCTGGGTCCAAGGGGCAGCACTGAGGTTTGGTTGGAACCTCTTGGACCGGGATTGTAGTGGGGCTCAGCTTTGGCCCTTGCTGATTAAAATCCACAGCAACAAATCCCAAGAAGAGCAGTATGGGCAACAAGAAACTCCTGGGCATTTCCAGGTGGCTAGAAGCCTCCAAAATGAGCAGTTTGAGTCTAAATGCCTGGGTACAAGGCAGTGCACTGATTCCTTCACTGAGCACTCACGTCTTGGGTAGGGAAGAAACACTTTTAACACTATGACTTTTGCATATGTCATTCCACCCTTCATGGAATAGAGGGTGTCCTTTAAAGGGCAGAGTGATTAGCCTTGCTGGGGCCAAATAATCGTTCCCTTTAGAAATGCCACAGAGCCTATCTGTTTACAACACATCAGGCTGCAGCAAGAGCTGGCAGGCAGAGAAGCTGCCAGCAACCCTGCACAAGGAAGCAGCAACTGCAATAGGAAGGAGGAAACCCTGTGGTGGAAATATACAGGTTGGAGAAATTATGGGTAATCCCAGTCCTCCACCCTGCCAAAATCATATTTCATAAATCAGCTTCCCTGCTGTTTAGTGGAGAGCTCAAGCTCTGAGGTCTCTCTGTTGGCTGCTCCTCTCCTGGAGCAAAGCTGTGGGCTCTCTGCCTTCTCCTCACAGCTCTCCCTGCTCTCATTTGCTCCTGGTGCTCATTCTTGCTCTTCTCCTCCCCTCCTCTGTGTGCTCTCTGCTTCTGTTTGACTATACCGAGATCTCTTGCTGTTCACTTGGCATTAAAGGCCTGTAAGGCTCCAAAAGCAGGGAGCTACAGGTACGTGCATCCTTGGCAATGCCACCCACCACTCCCAGGATGTGAACTGCTTCACCAGTGCAGATGGATGGGGTTTAGCTCAGCTGATATACAGCAGAAAGTACTACTTGATAACTTCAGCTGCAGTGGCCTGATGGTATCTACCCCCGGGAAGATGAGAAGCTGTGCTGGCCCAATCCTATTTACAACAACCAGAGGACTCTTCCTTAAAATGCTTACAGAGATGGCCAAGAAAAATCAGAAATTCCAGATTCAGCTAGCCCAGGTGACAGAGCATCCCTTTCTAGGGCATCAGGGGATTTTTTTCCTCTTCTTCCCTTTTTCATCCCTTTTCTGAATAAAAACCAAGCTCGTTTAGCAACAAGGCAGCTGCTGTGGCAGCACAGCCACTGCAGGAGCACGGGGTTGGAAAGCCCATGTTGGGTGGCCATCATTAATTTCTCATCCCTGATGATAGATGGCAACTAAAAGGGATGCACCAGAGTGTGACCAAACTTGATAAGCCACCAAGCCTGATTGCTACCAACACTCCTGCACATCACTAATACTGATCATAAAACCTGCTGAGTGCCACAGATCCCCTGAGAGCTGCTCGCAAAGTGTTTAGTAAGGCATAATAGCTACAAGATACAGATTAAATCTAGCAAATAATGCAAAGCTTTTGCTTTTGTATTTCCCTGCAAATAATTAAGGTCACTTGGTGGGGGCATGTGTGAAATAAGCCTGTTTCCTTAAAGGAATCCAGACTCCACTGGGATGGTAGAGGCAATCCCCGTGGCAGCACATCCAAGGAAGGCAATAACCCAACCGTACCCCATTTGCTTTTTCCAACTCTTGTGATTTGAAGCTCTCAGTTCATGATGTAAATGTGATGCAGGGAGCTGACCTGGTCATGCTCTACAAAAATGGAGTATGAAAAGTCTGTAGAGTAAACACTCTGCAGAAAAATCTGCTTAATGCTCACTCTGTACCACTGGAGTGAGCTGCACAGCTGGATTAATGGGAATGAGGATTAGGAGGAGAACATTTTTTGACATTTCTGGCATTACTTTCAAGATTTTTTTTATAACTGTCACAAACAATACATTCCATATAGCAAATGCTCTTGGTGCAGAACAGATTATTTTCTCTGTGGAGGAAGAGAAGTTCAGGGTTTAGAGCTAGACTCCAAGGAAGACTTGCAACACTGTTTGGTGCCTGCAGAAAACCCTTTTGCAGCTTTGGGCTATTCCCATCTCATGGATGAAACCACAAGAGGGTGAATCAGTGCCTTTAAGTGCCATTAATCACCCAATCAACAAGTTGCAAAATGTGTTTCTGCCTAGGTGAGAATTTAGGATAGAATATAGAAATATGGGGATAAATTTTAAATCTGGTTAATCTATAATCTGATGTTTCCCTTCTTCTTTCATGAACTCTGTTACCTGTCTTTGTGCATCTTGTTGACACTGTGAAACTCCAGAGTTCTGGGTTATATCTCATTCACATCACCTTGACCATACTATCATTCCAGCAGAAACCCCCAGACAGGTCTGGGGGAATGCAGAACAAGGCACAATAGCTTAGATTTAAAAACAATTAACCGTACAAAACAGGAAGAAAATGAGAAGCATTTGCAAGAAGGACACCTTAAAAACGGTATAACCAACCAGTAAATAAATTGTGAAACATTAAACAATACAAAAACAAGCTTTCTGGGCAGCCACCCATCCATCGATGGCAACTGGCCATCACTAAACTGCTATGTACCTCTCTGTGCAGTCCACATGGGCCAACAGTGCTCCTGCCTTTGTCATTCTGCTGGATTTAACACAGTGACTCCTGATTGATAGAGAGCAAAAAAGAGCCCTGCCTGCACGTTGTACAAGTCAGCCTCTCTAACCTGTGCCTTTTCTGGCTGATTCAGTGTTAACACCCATTTTAAACCTCTTAGTCACAGGACAGAAAATCTCTCAGCAGCACTCATGGTCTTTGGGGACCCACAGAGTTGTAGAACATCTACCATTAGAACATATAGGAAACGCATTAAATGTTTCTCCATTATTAAAAAAAACCCCAACAAAACAACCAGCCAGATCCTGTGGAATACCCCTTGTCTCCTGGCCAATTGATCCTTACATGATTCATTGAGACTGACCATCACATGTAACTCAGCACCTGTAACAGAGTTAACACTCAGTGACTAGGGAAACCTTCTGATTAATGGAGAATGGTCCTTAATTGCAACACAAACACAATTATACCAGCAACTGCAGTATCAGAAAGATATGTTTTTAAATGCATTACTTACTGATTAAAACAATTTTTCTGAACTTAAATTTCCCCTTTCAATAGACCGAGTTAGCCCTAACTTAGCATGTAGTTAATATTAATCAATTAAAGTAACATTAGTCAACAGCCCCCTTTCAACCTATTTCATAGTGCTTACTGTAAACCTTCCCAAACCATAACTCTTTTCCTAAAGGAAAAAATATATCTGATGTGTGTTACAGGTGTCAGCTCAGATGTTCACCTCTGGTTGCAAACCAGCACAGAAACAACCTCCACAGAACAGCTGCCTGATGCAGTCATTGAAATTGGGAAGCACAAAATTGTTGCTCAATTATTTGCTATCCCGCACTCTGCTGCCCTTTCCCAAAGAACAATGTTCCTCCTTTTGGGGGAGTAACAAAGAGAGTCCCTACCGAACAGGCCACGAGGATCAGACTGGTGTCTCTCCGAGCTTTTGCACTGCTCCTTTCTCTTCTTGCTCCCTCTAAAGCTACCAAAACGCTTCATGAGCTGCAACATGCGCTCAGACGGCAGCAGCTGTTGGTCATGCCCAAGACTGAAGAAAAAAAGCAGCACGAGGGGCAAGGCAAGGTATTCTTACACCAAACACCCAGGCACCAGAAAATAAAGTTCCAGAAGGACTAGGTGGCTGCAAAAGAAGTCCAGCTTGCTGGTGGTTCAGCTGTGAGGTGCTCGGTCGTGGTCTTGGTGCAGAGCCGCCCTGAACAGGCTGCCAAACCTCGCACGCCAGGCGCTTCCAGTCTTAATTCCAGCGTACAGTAACTCGCCTGCAAGTGTCTGTGGGCATGGGGAGAAGTTCAAAGTCTGCCCAGCTTGAAGCCATGGAGCTTTTATCCACGAGCCGTCAGAAGCCTCGGAGACTGAAGCAACGCTTCCCGGTAGATCAGCTCATGCGGAAAAGGGCAGGAACAACCTTGATCCCTTGATTGAAAAATACTAACTATGCAAAGGAGCTGCAAGCCCTCTTGAAGGGAATTGTCATGTGCAGCTTGGCATGATGACTCTTTAAAAAGGCTGTAAAAGGAAACCACCCCTGGCCAGACAATTCCTGGCAGTGAGTAGCCCAGGCACACTTGCACCGTGACATGACATCACCCAACTATTTTGATTCATGTGTGCTGGGTCCTCACAGTGACAGCACAGCCCAGCTGCCTGCTGATGAGCTCCAAAATGCCTGTCCCTCCACAGCTAATGACTAATGGATTAATGAGAATGAACTTCTGCCAGTTCATAAAAAGAAGGCTGATACTTTCTGGAAGATGTAGCCAGAATGACAGGCTGGACTTTCTCTTGTGACATGCCCTCCCCATGTTACACATACCTATATGCCCTGCTTAGATTGCTCCATTCAGATTTGCTGTCTGCAAAGCAAAAAGCACCCTGGACAACTGAAATCTTTTCAATGAAACAAACATTCACAGGGCTGCTGCTCATATCAGCCGGCCAGGGTGTGTTATGTGAGGCTCTGACACTGTGCATTTAGAGCTGTTTATTTTAAGAAAGGGCTGATCAGTGTGGGCTAGATCTTGAGCAGCAGAAAAGGGGCTTCATGGTCAAACTATCATAGCCATGCCTCCTAAGATTACCATAACCATTCTGTTAAATCAAAACCTTTTTTTAAAGCCACAACACACCAACCTTTCCTCTGGACATGACTGGAAACTTACTTGCTCACATCTTTCAAAAATCAAACTCTATATGAGTAATGAGAGTCTTATCTTTTTAATCCCTAGGAGGAATTAAAGGTCATATCACCCTTTTCTTCTACAAAGAAACATGCCTTTTTCTTTGTACCCTTGATTGCTCCTGAGACTTAATATCATTAGAAAGGAAAAGAAAAAAACAGCCATGAATACTGCAGAAAAGACCTTTACCAACACAGATTCCTTACAAGCTCTGGTCTTTCAGAAGGATGGCTGTCTCCAAGACATCAGTGCAGGGACGTCCCAGGACTTCAGGCACCCCAAAAGACGGCACAAAGAAGACAGCAGGTTCCTCTGCCATTCTCAGGTACCACATTCTCTACCCTGTGGAGAATGCGGAAGAGAGTACAGAGGACACCTTTGTTCTTCCACTTAATGACCCAAATAATAAAATTATTAATAGACACTTAATTACCTTCCAGACAAGGCTCTCACTGATAGCCAAGTGAGGAACTACAGTAATTAACTTTAGGCTGTTCCCAGGCTTTGCCTTCCAGACTTGTTCTCCTTTCTTTTACCTGCAGCTTTCTGGCCCTCCTTCAGCTCTGCAAGTGATGATCTCAGTGCTTTTCAACAAGTAACAATTGTTTTGCGTAAAACAACCTGTCAGCACATTGGTTCATGAAAGCCCCTTCTCCAGCCCCTCCCTTGAGGCTCACTGTTCACCCAGTGCACAGGAGAAGCAGGTGGAGCAATGAGAAGCGTTGATGGATGGGCAGGGGAAGGATCAGTGTAACTTTATTTGTTTTAATGTAGTTGTAGGGAGAGTCAAGCTCTTCACATCCCATCTGGCCTTGTATTACCACCACATTTACCTCTGCAAGCTTCATCTTCACTGTCCTTTCCCTTCATTCTGCCATGCTCATGCCACAAAGACTGAGACTGTAGCCATAGTGGGATAAGCTCTGGTTTTCCCCATAAGAACATGTCACAGACAAGCCCTCAAGCTACTTCCATGAGACTCGTGACCTTCAGTCTTTCCCATTTAAAAATCAGCTTGTGAATAGCAGAACTGAATCCTACTTGCTGCTGTCTAAGCTTACTGCCTCTTGTCTTATTCACCATACACATGGAGAACAGATTACCCTCTTCTGCTCCAGAGCAACCCTCAACATATTTGAAGACTGTCATCCAGCTCCAGTTCCAGTCTTTATTTGGCCAAAGACACTCTGCCTACAACACAATTTCGACCTGGACCTTGAGTTTCCCTTCCTTAGAAGTGCATTCCTCATTCTTCAGTGGCCAAAGCACTGTTGAGAATGACTTAATGTCATCAGAAACAAAAAAAATTTAAATCCCTTTTTAATGAGATATGAATTGGTATTGCTTCAGTATGGAAATAACCCCCTTTTTCACAGAGGCCAAGGATAAATAGTAGCTGATGACATGTTCAAGCAGGGCTAGTGGACCAGGAGGGCTCATTTCCCTATATTAAGGAAAGCAGCAAGAGCTCCCAGAAAACAAAATAAGGCTGTTTAACAACTGACCTTCACAGTAATTTGTTAAAAAAGCACTAAGTGCTTTGATTATGAACATTTTGTCTCCCACAGCTAATGGTCTAACAGATACTGGCACATTTACACCAGATATTACATCTTCTTAATGATTCCAGTGGAAGAATCTTGTAAAACTAATAATAAAAAGCTGAGCTTCAAAGAGCTCCTTTGGGGCCATCTATGTTCTGGAGATTGAAAACACAAATCCCTCCTGAACAACCATGAAATGGGCTCTTGTCAAGCTACTTTAAAGTCCCCCTAATTAGTTACACCATATTATGTTTCTTGAGCTGCATAAGGGTAACAGCATCCCCTTCCAAAAACCATAGGGAGGCTTGCTCTGAGAGGGTCCAAGCAGTGGACAGCTTAATAAAATTTGCCCCTTCCTGGGGGAAGGAGCAAACAAACACTCGTGCATGCCTAAGAAATGCTTCCCTAGACCCACCAAATCTGCTAAACTGGCCAGACCTGAGCCATTTCATGGCCTTAGAACAGCCTCTATGCTGACAACTTGCCAGCCTGCCTCCAGTCCCACCATCCCTGCTCCAAATCATCTGCTTCTTTGACAGTTTTACTTTGATGACCTAGTGTCCAGTTCAAAACAGAGCCCAAGAAAGGCTCTAGAGCTAAAAAAGGACACATATCTCCTGGAGATCTCTCTTACGCCAATTCTTATGTTCATCCCATCAGCCGCCTGTGTGCCCAACCCACCCAGCAATGTTCTCCCTTCCTCATCCCAGTCCTTAAACCACCTGTTGTTTGTTTTTTTTTTAAATGGAGGCTGGAACTAAAAAAGATAAACCTCCTTCTGCTACATTTTCACTAATTCACAGGGCCACAGAAAAGAGGAGTCTCATGGCATGAGTAATCTCCAATCCAATCCAAAAAAGCCCTCTCTGTGGCTGGGCTCCCTCTTCTTGATGATTCTTCCTTTTCAGTTCTCCATGTCTCAGGATAAAAGAGCCTTCTATACCTCCCCCAGTGATTTAACATGACTCTTCAGGCACAAACACAACAAAAATCTTCCTCTCTCTGGATACCATGGGAAGATTTGTTCTATGAGGTAGGACTGGATTGTTCAGATGTGGTCTCCATGGAAAATGACATTAGGCTAACCAAGAGCTGCCATCACGGGGTGTATGACACAGACACCAGAGTTCTGAAACACAAACTGATTTATCTCTCTCATGGAGGTGTAAATTCTGTGCTGTGGTGAAAATACTACAAATGTTGATATTTCAAGCCATTTCCCCACTTGCCTTCTTTAATAGGAGCTTTAACCTGATAGACAAATGCAGCAGCAGAGTGTGGGGCAGGCAACAGGGACTAGCTACTTCTATCAGGGCTTATTCTGGTGTGAAAATAGCAAAACCAATGCCTTCCTCCTTGAAATATAAGAGCTTATTTAGCACAAAACAGGAAGGGTAAAAAGAACATGTATCCCCTTAGTGACAATTAATGCTTCAACTGGCTTCAGACTGCAAATCAGCAAAAACAAGTACTTCCTTTTCCTCAATGCTGAGAATTTCCTTGTTCAAAATTCCCTCTGTTTTTGCCATTACTCAAAGAAACAAAGTTTAGATCCACCCTTAGAAGAGTAAAGCATGAATCACGTTTGCATTTCTACATGGAACACATTACCTTAAAAACTCTCCTTAAAAACTTCCCTGAAATTGAATTTTTCTAAATTTTAACTTCTGAATTCTACAGACTGATGTTGGCAAAATTAAGCATCTTCTGCCACTGTCAGTGGTGCTGGGATGTGCTTACAAGCCTCACAACACCAGACTGGTTTTAACCATGACCATATTTCACACAAAGAGCTAAATATATTGGAAAGTATTTCAAACAGTGCTCAAAGAAATATGTTACAGAGATCTTTGCTCTTAAGAAAACACTCAAGACTACAAGTGATGCAAGGAACAATAACAAAAAGGCTGTTGTGCCTGAACACCATTTGCAGGCTGGTTGAACAAAGCATGCAGCCTGCATTTTCAAAGTGAAATCCAAACTACCACTTTCTCCATCTGGTCCAAGTCCAGCTCACACCCCATAAAGAACTGCAAGTTTATGACTCCAAGCTGGGCTCAATTACTTCCCATAATCATAACCAAGTGTTTCACTGTAATGAGTTTTTGTCTTTATCCCCTGGTTTTTATACTACTTCATGCTGCTTTCTCTGTGCATTAAGAAATACTTCAATCTCTGAAGCTGTCAGGCTAAATTGGTTTTGAAAAATCTGAAAGTTTAATTTTACTTCTTTTTTAGCAGTCCCAAAGGTGCACACCAGATCCCCCAG